CAGCAGGCACAGTACACCCTGTGTAAAACATGAGGATTTCTAGGGTGATAAGTGTTACATGCCTGGAAGTATTTACTTTGCAACTCAGATGCATTGATGCTGTGAAGGTGTGAAGATTAGAGATAATGTTGAAACAATTTCACTCATATACATGCTGTCCTGGTGTATTTTTCTGATGTATGATTTTAAAATGTTTAATTTTCAGGTGACAATGGCCAGAATCGGGATAAATGAGAGTCGTTCAAAGGAGACCTGTGAAACAATACTTTTTGCTCTCCGAATGGCAACATGGAATCAGATTTTAGATCCCTGGGTGTACATTCTTCTCCGGAAAGCCGTACTTAGAAACCTGTACAAGATCACAAGGGGATGTTGCGGCGTGCACATCATAAACTTACATACGTGGGAACTCAGCTCCATCAAGAATTCTTTGAAGGTTGCAGCAATATCTGAGTCACCAGTAAGTTCCAAACAAATAAACCTACAGCCACTTGGCTCTATGGGACGATAAAGTTAAACACAGTGTATGAAGAGATGATGGAGGCAATGCTCATACATGGGCAATACCTTAAAATTAATTCCAAGTCTCAGTGGTTTGGCATTTGTTTTAAATTTTGAGTGGTTTGCTCTTGTTGCTTACCAATTTGATGTTGCTACTCCAAAAGATGCACTTGAATGTTTTAACTCCCTTCTGAATACACCTCTTCCAAACCTGGTAGCAGAATGACAAATCATCCTGTATTTCTCTCTTACAGGTACTAAAGTGAACGGAGTTCACTTCCCACCAAATCCTTCACCTTGGCAGGCTTCTTTAGAACACATGCAAGTGCAAAAGTGATCTCCAAGGTGATTTTTAAAAGGGGTAAATTTTATCTACCAGTGATACCCCCAAATCCTTTACAGACTCACTGCTTCCCAGGATAAAGTCTGCTGTCCTTTCTGTAAGGGCATTCTTTGCTCCTAGGCATTGAATTTTCCAATTGGATATATAAAAGACATTTTGCTTGTGCCCAGCTTATTAAATGATCCAGTTTGCTTGGTTCATTGACTTGATCTCTTAATTATTTATTTTTCCATGAATTTTTGGGAGAACTGCAGACTTCATCTGTGTAAACATTTGTTTCAAATCACTGACAAAACATCAGGTTCCCTGCGGGAACACAGAAGCAGATCAGCTCAGCTTGCTTACAATTACATTTTTATATCTATCAGTGAGTTTTTAGTCCTTTCAACAGATTTTGTTGAAACTAACTGGCTTAAAGCTGTGGTTAGTCTGTAAAAAGAATTGTTTTTTTCCCCCCCAATTGTGGGAAGGTTCTTGAGGCGTTCCCCTAATGCATATACTGAAATGCTCATGAGGTACCCCTGCTTCATTTGTGAAAGGTCACACGTGTTTCATGAAAAATATGTGTGACCAAAGGAGCACCTCTGCAGGGAGCTGCACTGGGAGCGTGGCTGTGGTTGTGAAAGCAAACTGCACGCTCCGTTTTTGCAGGCTCTGTGTCTGAAGAGCAGAGGGTATTCAGTATATTTGAAGGTACCAGAAAGTTTCCAGGACTTTACACAGGAGGCCCTTCACCTTTAATGCTGCTAAAAGAAGCTTTGTTTTTTGTGACTGTACTTTGTTCAGAAGCAAAAATGGGAGTATCAGAGACTTTGTAGCAGGGGGATTATTTTAAGACAGTAATGTCTAATGTTATTTTTATCTACTTAACTTCAAATAACTACATTAGTGGATTGTTGGTATATTTGGAATAAGTAGTTAAAAACTGATTCATCAAGTCTGAGGGACCAAAACTATTCACAAACTACAAATTCATGTTGTATGTGAGAATAGTTTAAGTCAGAAAATAAAAACCCAACAGGTTAAATATTTTATTTTTTTGTTTTAAAAGCTATTTCCTTTTTGTTTTAAAAAGGTTGAATTTCTGTATGTGATTTATTTCCTCCGTCACAGAGCTGATAAACCGTGGACAGATTAGATGCTGGTGTAAGCTCTGCACTGTTGCTTTCATGTGGGTTCTGCTGAAATCTGGAAGTGTTCAGTCAGTGCTTAGTTTGTTTTTGTCATGTCATAGAATGTGATGCCGGTGTATCTGTTGACATAAATTATTTGTTCTTTATGGAAGATAGTTGTTTTAGCACCTGCAAAAAAATGTTGGTTCATAAATTGTTGAGATATTTGATTGGTGAATGAAGCTCACCGATGTTCCATTTTGTTATGTGAATAAATGTAACTTGTGTATTTCATACTAGTTGACTTGTAAAACAAACAAAAGTTTATATGTATATGTGATTTTCTTATATTTTGTGTACTATACGTATTGAATGTAAATTGCAAAGCCTCATTAAAGTTTTCAAACTGTATCTTCAGAGTTGTGGTATTTTTGCAGAACAAAAGAGGTCTGCATTTGTTGAAAATAATCCTTCTAATAAAAAACCTCACACTGGATTTGAGCCAGCCACTGTCATTCACACGTGTGATAGCAGTAGTGAAGGTAGAGAGGACTGTGAGAATGCAGACAGGAGGTGCCAGCGTTTGTACACTTTGTTGTCACATGAGCCGCCCGGTGCAGTTGGTGGTCTAAGGCAGTCAAGGACAAGTTCTGGAGATCCATGCCTAGAGAATGCAAATAAAAGTGGAGCTGAGGGATTTGGTGTTTGGAATTAAAGTGTTTTTATCCAACCATCTGCCAAGATGTAACACAGACTCTCATTAGTTTCACATACACTATGAATCCTGAAAAAAATGTGAGCGTTGCTGTTAATATTTTGTCTTGTCCAGTGACGTGGTAGCCTGCAGGGGCAGCTCAGGATACAGCCACCCAAGGATCTGTTACCCCTGAAAGTGATTTGATTATCATTGCGTTTCATCTCACAGGGAAGCCAGCAATGTGCTGTGTTGTGTGATTAGCAAATGATACGTTTTATGGAATATGAGATTATAAAAAAAACCAGTGGGACGGGTTCACGCTAGGATCTGAGTATTGCCCAGGCGGGGAGAAAAGGGCAGTCTGCTCAGCAGTGTGCTGATGATCTCTTCAGAGGCTGGCTAACGATGCGAGCAATCACGAGCTGCCTGTTTACTGCTGGGCAGTAATTAGTGTCTCCAGAGCAGACAGGGGCAGTAAGTGTTCTGGTGGGAAGAAAGTGAATCTCATTTCTGACTAATGATGGAGGAAATCCTCAGGGTGGGAGAGTATTTTAATCTAATTGGGATCTTAAGCAATGGCAGGCTATATAAGGAAGCACTTTGTCCTAAAGTAAGGTCCTAGCCTGGGCTGAATCAACCTGCTGAAGCAAAGAAAGCATCAGTAACAAGTTGCTCATCATGGGGACTAGGCAAATGTCTGTAGTTTGTTACCTAGATACAAAGATGGAGAGCAAGGTTCAAGGTCTTTTTGATCTGATGCTTGAGGCAAAGTGTCCACCTTGTGTGTTTGTATATAAGTATTATATTATATATAAAATATCTGTATATAAGTATTTTTATTACTTTAGCCTGATGTGTTAGGAATTATTTCAGGAAGAGGAATACATACCAGTTCTGTAGCCATGGTGATCCCTTAGGACAAAGTGTTTGGACCTTTTAGATGTGCCTTGCCTGCTGATCTGCTTCTCCAGGATTTTAGGGGTAACACAGCACACCTCTAATTACCTGTATAGATTGGCATGAGATTTAGTTCTCAGCACTTGGGTCCTGGAAGAAGTGCTCGAATCCTAAGGGAATTTACAACACCTGTTGTGCATCCTGTTGCTTCCTAAAAAAAATCCAGACACTTCTCACTGTAAACTTCTGTGATCTGCCAATGTTAAAAAGGGCAAAACTGTTCTTTGATTTCGGCAGACAGTGACTCTGAATTTAATCTTGCTGCATTATACTGAGGAAAGTATTTACTCCTTGAACTGACAACATTTTCCTGCCGAATGTGAGTTAATTTTAATACTTACTAGGAAATATTAAATACTACCAGTGTAATGCTGTTCCAAAGATGAGATAAAGGAGGGGCTATTTAATATGAGAACTTGCATTTTGTGTTCTTGAGATAATCCTGAGTTGACTACTTTGTGATGTGGAATAGCTGCAAGGAAGAAAACCAGTTATGAGTTCCAGAACCCTTGGCCATCAGATTGTACGAATGTGTATCTGAGGTGGAAAGTATTGCATGTTAGTGCTCTGTTGATTGTTTCAGTAGCAACATGTTTTTTATTCTCATATAAATTGCTTGTCAAAGGTGGGTTGCTTCTTACCAGTGGATGCCCCATGGGGGAACTGGTGGTAACAGGTGTTGTGTTTCTCATGGCTTCTTGTCTTGGTCACTGGAGCTGGTAAACAGTGGGAAAAAATGTCATGTTTGATTATTTGCATGGAACAACCTCTATTACAGCTCACTTTCTTGTGACCATTAGTACATTTAGATGGATGCTTTGCTTGGAGACATTTTTCTGTTGTAAATACAAGAATTCAGACTGTCAAGTAAACGATCCCCTCTACACAAGCACGTTTGCCACGCTGCTTTTAGAGGTCCTTCTTGGGCTGTTGGGTGCTTTTGGAGAGAGCTGGCTGAACTGTGGCTGGGAGGACAAGGTGTCTGGCCACATGCTCCAGCTGCTGCCTTTGCACTGGTTTTGGTGTTTGAATGCCCTGTGAGTTGACTGAACTTGCAAAAATGGAAAAAAAAAAAAAAGTGCTGCAAAAGAGGGAGTAGCTGTTTACAGGCATAATGAACCCAATTGTTCTATGTTGCAGTACCAGAAATTTTGCACGGGTGAAGCAAAGGGAACATGGGGGGAAGTGCATCAGTGTGGGGAAGGTCTACGAGATGCCCCTTGCCAAGGAGCTGTTAGTTTTACTTTACTCCCCTTGCTGGGGGAGGATCAGGCTGGTGAGCAGGACCTACACTTGCTTATCATTATAGGATTCCTAATTCCAGATTCATTAACTCATTCTTTCTTCAGGCTTTTCCAAGTTTTCCTGGTTATTTAAACTAATTAAATCACAATTTATTTATTTTTGTGAAGGCTGAAAAAGGCAACGGCTGTTGCAGGTTTTTCTCTGTCATCTGATATTTGTTCTTCCCCTGGTAAGAACAAACCATACCTTTTCTTGCTTTTATTTCATTTCATTTTATCAGTGTCTGGCAAATCAAAAGTTTTGCAGCCTGACCCTTGGTGTAGCTGGTGCTCTGCTTTATGCAGATAGACACAATATACATCTGTGACTGACTCAAGTGACTTAAATGGTATGGACGAATACACATTCTTATTAGCAGGCTTCCCTTTCTGAGAGCTGACGTAGGGATTGTGCAGAGAGGATCCAGCCCTAGCAGGACAGCAGAACATAGGTGTGAGTATTTCCAGCTCTGTTCTCCATGCTCCTTCCAGTACCAAAAGAAAGGTCTTCACTTTTTCACATCTAACTTTTTAAAGAAATACCATAGGAAAAAGTACCATCCAGCTCTGGAGAAATGTAGTAGACTGATGTCTTTCTAGAGGTGATTGATGTTTGAAAGGGGCAGGCAGTGCAATCAAGGAATGTATCTATTGGTGGAAGCCTAGGGATATGAAGAGAGCCTGAAAATTGTGCAAAACCTAAAACTTTTGGTCTTACTACAATTTATTCATAAGAAACGTGAAAATAAACAAACAAAATATTTGCAGCAAAT